CGGTTCGAATCCTGTCAGTGGACGAATATTCTCTGTTAAATTTTCTCGGATATTCAGGCCGGTTAATGTTGTTTAATACTGTTCATTATAAACGGAGTATTTACTTAAATATTTGTATCTATAAAAAGAATGTATAAATGCAAAAACGTCTTAAAATAATTGTCGGACTTTGTCCGTTTCATAATGCGTGATATATATAAGAATATTACTTTAATTTGTTGTAGCCTGTTCTAGAGGACGAAGCATGTTACATAGAATTTTTTTTTCAATTTTATCCTTCAGTTACCCCGCCTCAGCACATTCACTCAATCATACGCATAAACACAGACAGATACAGGAATATATGTACGAGTTACAGTAATACTGGTATTATTATATAAAAAAGAAAGCTCATTGTCGTAATTGAATTACTTCAGGAATGTACATGTTGGCGAACAATTCGTCTCCATCATTGACTTTTTCTGTTAAGAACAGTACTATTTCTGACTTTTAAATCGTTTACTGCATGTAAGCAATATAAAAGGAAAGGTGTTATTTACTTCTGCACTTGTATGACGCCAGACAGAAATAATGCTAACTGACAGGCAAGCAAGAAAAATACATTTCTCTCTGGCCCCAGACACAAGTCACCCCATTCAAAATCTTTTTTCCTATAATATATATATATATATATATATATATATATATATATATATATATATATATATATATATATATATATATATATATAAATACATATATATATATATATATATATACATATATATATATATATATATATATATATATATATATATATATATATATATATATATATATATATATATATATATATATATACATATATATAAATATATATATATATATATATATAAATACATATATATACATATATATAAATACATATATATATACATATATATAAATATACATATATATACATATATATATATACATATATATAAATACATATATATAAATACATATATAAATATATATATATATATACATATATATATATATATATATATAAATACATATATATACATATATATAAATACATATATACATATATATATATATATATATATACATATATATATAAATACATATATATATACATATATATATATACATATATATATACATATATATAAATACATATATATAAATACATATATATATACATATATATAAATACATATATATATACATATAAATACATATATATACATACATATATATAAATACATATATATATATATTACATATTACATATATACATATACATAAATACATATATATACATATATATATAAATACATATATCATATATATACATATATATATACATATATATAAATACATATATATATACATATATATAAATACATATTTATTTATTTTATTATTTTTTTTTTTTAAGCATTGTGCCCCAAGCAAGGCGTGAAGCCACTAGGGTGCAGGGGGTTGCGGAAGATTTGGAGCGAGAGCAGATAAGAGTGATAGGAGAAAGGAAGAGGAGAAGGATAGTGGGTAGATCAAGGTAATTGGAGATGTCGATTGGCATTACATTTGAATAGTTGGAGATTATAGCTTTCAGGGAAACAGTAATTGGGGAGGGTGTTCCACTGGCAGAGAGGTGCGAGGTATGAAGCTATTGGAGCAGAAGAGACGGCTACATTTGAAGGTTTCTACGGTGTAAGGGTGTGGGAGCGGGATGACAGCCTCGTAGGGCGCTTGAATTCATGGAGTCTGGGAACCAGAGAGAGCAGCTCATCAGAGCAGTTACCATGGAAGTATTTGTAGAAAAGACAGAGAGGTGACGGCGCGTCTGTGAGAGAGTGACTGCAGACAAGACGCTAGATCAGGGCCAATTAGATTACATATCCGTCTCTGGATCTTGTCAAGAACTCCGAGGTAAGCAGAAGGTGCCCCAGCCCATATATGGCAGCAATACTCCATGCAAGGGGTGAATGGTTGTTTTGTATATTTGAAGTATCGATTCAAAAAAATTTCCTGGCGCAGCACAGAGATCCAACTTTCCTCGCGGTGGAAGAAGCAATTGACTCAATGTATTTGTTCCATCTCAGGTCAGCAGTCAGCGTGAGACCGGGCAGACGCAGGGAGTTGCTCTCAGGAAGTTGATTATCAGACATTCTAATGGGGGGGACAGGGGAAGGATCTCAATGGTGGTTAATAGAGAGTAAGTTTAGTTTTTGTGGCGTTAAAGTTGACCAGCCAATTCTTGCCCCAATTAACAACCGATTGGAGGTCCATTTCAAGACGCACGGCCAGGTGGGTTTTGTCGCCGACACTAGATTTGTTTTTTGAGGCAGGAGTAAATTGTAGTGTCGTCTGCATAGATGCCAACTTGGGAATCTATGGCTTCAGGAAGGTCATTGATGAAAATAAGGAAAGAGTGGGGCCAAGGATGGAGCCTTGGGGAACACCTGCGTTAGTGGGATAGGAACTGGAGGAGAATCCATTGAGAACGACCTTCAATTCACGGTTTGACAGGAATGATTGTATTAGATCAAACAATAGACTTGTAATACCATGACCCTGGAGCTTACGAAGAAGGCCGGCATGCCAAACCCTATCAAATGCTTTGGAGATGTCTAGGGCCACGGCACGAGCCTCACCATTATTTTGAAGGGCTTGGTAGATGGTTTCAGTGATGGCTGTAAGTACATCAGCTGTAGATTGGGCATAGCGGAAACCATATTGCTTGCCTGAGAGCAGATCATGGGATGTAAGGTGGTTAATCACTTCGACATTGATTAGGGCTTCGAAGACTTTACTGAAGAGGGGTAGGAGACTAATAGGACAGTAATTAGAGGGGTCAGAGGGGTCTCCAGAGTTCTTAAAGACAGGAACAATGGATGAGGACTTCCAGCAGTCAGGAAAACAGGATTTCTTGAGGCAGTAATTATATAGTTTAGAGAGGGCGGGCGCTAGCTCAGACGCGCATTTCTTCAAGACAATGGCTGGTATGCCGTCTCCACCACTAGCTTTGTGGGGGTCTAAATTGTAGATAATGCCCAATACCAATGATGGGGTTATGTGTAAGCCGCTCAATAGGGCCTCAGTTCTTAGAGGGAAGTCTGGTATGGGTACACTGGAGGAGTCAAGCGTTGAATTAAATGAAAATTTCCGAGCAAAGCATTCAGCCTTGTCGGTAGAGGAGGTCAAGCTCGAACTGGTTGAATAAAGGAGGTATGAAGGGTTTTCTATTGTTTAGGACACTCTTGCAGAGCCGCCAATAATCTTTGTAGCCAAATTTGTGAGATGCAATATGCTCCTTCATCCGAGCAGCAAATATTGACTTAGCTTCATTGAGAACACGTTTACACTCATTACGGGCGAAGGCAAAGAGACGTCTATTGCAATCCGACATATCGCTTTGTTTTTATTTATATATATTGTATTATATATTAAATATTTTTGTAGAACTCATCTATATAATCGTCATCTAATAGCATTTTTTAAATTTATTTTTATATTTAATTTTAATTAAAATTTATTTAATTAGACACCAGTAAACTTCAACCAATAATTAAAATTAATTTGTCTGGATGATTTAAACATTTTATAATTCTGGTTTGAGCTTTTCCTTTGATGTATATCACATTGCTTTGCATTTTAATACACTGATCATGGATCTGTCTTTTTAATATGTTATTTTAAGACCTATTTGGATTATCCTTACCACTTATGGATTATATATATATATATATATATATATATATATATATATATATATATATATATATATGTATGTATGTATATCAGATCACTCTATGAATGCTACTGGAACTATATGAAATGAATATAATTGTTTGCCATACTGACTTCAATGTTAATGGAAAAAACATACTGGTAAGTATAGTTTCTGTCTGTTTATATGCATACACAAACATACATACTGACAAACATACACATGTAAAAATACACATTCACACATGCACAAACATACATATACATATGTATGCATATTTTACTGGGCAAGTCTTTTGAGTTATTAGGTGCATTATAAGTTATTGTTACTTCTATGACAATTGAAATATCAACTCTGCCACTTAAACATCAGGAAAACCCAAAATGTTTGGTTTTTAAATACAAATGTCCTGATGACAACAAAAGTGCTTGATAAAAGTACTTGACTTCTGGAAGTCTTACTGAACCAACTATGAATTTAAGAAAGCACTCTGAAATTATGAAATGGATATAATCAGAAAATAGTGGCCAGTGATATTGAATAAAATATCTGCACCCATATTCATTTGATATATGCCATACAACAATTAAGTTCTTAATCTTAGCACTCCATAAATGTAGCTGTGTGTCACAAATGTTTCATTTAGATACAAGTACTAGATAAATGTAGCAAATTACTTTGGGATAACAATTAACAATCTAATCTCATTGATCATTCTTATCATAATCCTGGGTCAAAGAATGGAAAAAAAAACTCTAAATATCAAAATATTAGGCTTTTGTTTTTAAATGGTACCAAATTTGTAAGAGCAAGGGGAGTATAGTGGTAGTTTAATTTAAATATGTGAAACGTGGTACTATAAATTGTCTCCCCAAGAAAAGAAATAGTAGTAGTAGTAGACCATATTCAGTTTGCATGACTATTTTGATTATGTACCATGCATGATACATGCTTAGGCGATCATGTATCTTTCAATACATGACTGATGAGGGAGATTTTTTTTCTGAAGTAGGTTGGCATTTCTTTCTGAGGTAGACCAGTTGCCATCCATGGTTATAGAACCCAGTCTGTCCTACTATTTACCCATAGCTGGGTGGAGAAGAAGAGGATTCATACCTTTCCCAAGGCTATTAGCACATAAGTGAATGTAATGGATTCGAATGGAATTTGATCTCGGCTCTCCAATTCCTCAATCCGAGCCACTATCCATTACTCCATTGTGCCTATTTACTTAAGTATAATACATTATGATTTATGACAACAAAGGGATTTACAACACAGGAGAGAACAAAGGGATTTACAACAAAAGAGACAACAAAGGGATTTACAACAAAAGAGACAACAAAGGGATTTACAACAAAAGAGACAACAAAGGGATTTACAACAAAAGAGACGACAAAGGGATTTACAACAAAAGAGACGACAAAGGATTTACAACAAAAAGAGATGACAAAGGGATTTACAACAAAAGAGACGACAAAGGGATTTACAACAAAAGAGACGACAAAGGGATTTACAACAAAAGAGACAACAAAGGGATTTACAACAAAAGAGACAACAAAGGGATTTACAACAAAAGAGACAACAAAGGGATTTACAACAAAAGAGACAACAAAGGAGACAACAAAGGGATCTACAACAAAGGAGACAACAAAAGGATTTAGTGTATGTAATATTGTGCCTTGCCTTCAATCTGTCTGCTGAATATCAGATTATCCAAACCCCCTAGAAATTTCAACTGCCTCTTCATGATATTAAGTCAAAGTGTCTTTTTTGTTTCTATTTTCTCTAAAACTTTGTTGTTGTCCATATATTCGATTGAGGATATTCTCAGCATCCTTCTTTAAAACTTCTCATCTGTGAGGAGATTGTCCAGCATTCACTGCCATATAGGAGAATTGATATTACTTTTCTTTGTTTCTAACAAAATTTTTGTGTTTTTTAATACTTGCTTAACTTTTGGAAAGCATCTTTCACTATTCCAATGTACCTTTGAACTCCAGTGTCATATTCTGAATCGTGTGTGAAAACACTTCCCAGATGTTGTTCTTGCTGATTTTGATATTTCTAATTTGTAATTTGCTAACAAGTATACATTCTATCTTCTTGAAGTTGATTTTTAGTGCTTTCTTCTGACTTTCCTGTACTATCTTCTGTAGATGTTTTTGTTATTACTTTTCTATATCTGTTATCAACATTGTGTCATCTGTATATCTTATGTTGTTAAAGTTGTGGCCACTTGTAATGAATCCTAATAGGACTTCTAATTCTCTCAAGATCACCTCCCTGTATAAGTTGTACTTTATCTATTTGTTTAAATTTTGTTTGGCTGGACGATTTAAACCTTAATATTTAGCCCATTTAGATGTGCCTCATCTCTTATTCTTGGTTGTATAAAAGTAGTTCAAGCTTCATTAGATGCTCCATTTTAATGACCATGAGCCAGACTAAGTTACAAAATACCTAAAAAAAAATTTTAAGTGAAAAATTATTATTCTTATATAATGTTTCTATTTGGATCAAAATGCTAATTATTGTTGTTTTTGTTATCATTTCACCCCAAGCAAGGAGATAATGCCATTAAGATACAAGCTACTGAGAACAAAAGAATCTGAGAAAAATCATTATTAAGGAGGGAGAGGACAATAAAAGAACAGGATTCAAGGAGACAGAAGAATATAACAATTGATATTGCATTTAAATTTTTAAAGATTAAAATTAATTGGAAAGTAAGAAGCTGGAAGAGAGTTCCACAAGACTGAATAGTGAGAGAAAAAATTGTTAGCATAGAATTTACAGTCACATTTAGCAATTTCAACTGTGATGTGACTGCCAGTCTAGTACTGCACTTAAATTTGTAAAGTCGAGATATCAAAAAATGAATGCTCATCAGAACAGTAACTGCGAAATAACAATAACTCAGAATAACAACTTAATTAGTCATTTCAGAAAAGAAATACTAAATGTGTAATATGTAAGAAATAAATAAATCAACAAGCTTTTTTAGCAAGAGAAGACAGCAATGTATGAAACATTTTTTTGTATACCAAGAAAAAGAGCTGAAATAACTTTTGAGTGATGAAATATATTTGTATCTTCCTTAAGCAACAGCAAACAAGTCAGTGTCAGGAATTAAATCAATAACATTATAAATATTAAGTTTAAATACTTAAGAATAACAGAGCAAACATCAGGAACCTATCCTGTTTGTAAGTAGAACTACTACTGTAGTTACAGATATTAAGAAGATCAGGTTTCTTTGATCTTTTTAGTAAGGAATACCTACTGCCTTTAAAATCAACATCTAAAAACTTGTATTTTATGAGGGTTTGAACTCAGTACTCTGTTCCCTGTGGGAACTATGACATATCTTAACTACAATGCAGGGATCATCATTTTATGAAGCATTACCAATAGTGATGCAAAATTTGTTTAAGAATATAAAATGATTAAAATGATATAAGATTATTGATTTAAAGAGTTTACATTTATATATGGACATTTTTTCTTCTTTTAAACTTATTTAAAAATATCAAGTGATTAAATCAGTTAATATCTTTTTATTTTTGTGACTTATTTTATTTTCAGTTTTAAACTGAAAGACAAATTAGTAAAGCAATTAAATCAATGTGTTAATTTTATATTCTTAAACAAATTTTTATAACTTTTTAAAATTTATTCATTTTCTGTTTTAAACTCAAAGACAAATCAGAAAAGCAATTAAATTTAATTCTTTTTTCTTTTTGCATATGCCAAAAATTACAAACTGCTGTAACTAA